ACAGCTTTCTCTTTCTGGGCTGGGTTCCGGGATGTTGGCAAGGTTGAGGGCACTGGCAGGAAGTCTGGAGTCTGGGCTGTCCCCCGGTGGAGGGTGAATGAGCACCCTGAACAGCATGACCACCCTCTGGAGGTCCTAGCTTTTCCAGTGGAACAGGGAGCTGGTCTCAGGGGGCTCATGAAGGACTCTTCACCCTTCCACATCTGGGGGACATATTATCCACCACAGTGTGAGGGGCAGCTGTGATGGAGAGGAGGATGTATCCATCAGCTTTCGCTGTTATGCCGTGCTAACATCCCCTACTTGTGTTGGCCATTGGCCTCCTCCTCTGTCGTCTCAGTTGGGAAACTCAGCTCTACAATGGCCCCTATTGGACCACACTTGTTGTGGCACAGTTTGGAAAGAACACTGGTGGGACCCTGGGCTGGTGCTTCAAGATTCTGTGGGAGAGGCAGTGGATGGCCCCACCAAGTCACATGACTCATCCTGAGTAGAAGGCACAGGGAGTGTAGCCACCATGGAGACCAGAGCAGTGAATAATGCGAACCAGAGTGTGTCTACTACGGGGTCTCTGATGCAGGTGGAGGGGATTCCTTTTCTAAAGAGAGAACACACTTTGGCCAAAGGAGACAGTGTGAAATAGTGGAAATGTCAAGACTTGGAATCAGCAGGTCTAATTTTAATTAAATTGAGGTATGGCCTAACTGTGTGATGTTGGCTAGTTATTTAACGTCTCTGAATCTTTGATTCCATGTGCAGAAAATCACAGGGAGGGCTTGAAAGTTAAATAAGGTAGTATATGTTAAGACTTTGGCACATAATAGCAATACAGTAAATATAAACTGCCCACCCCAGCTCCTGCCCTCATTAGTATGTGATCTGTAACTCTGAATCTGTCTGCTAACACTCCTCCCACTAACTTTATGAAGTTAGAATCAAAACAACTTGGGAGAATTGTGCCTTTTCCATGTGTCAGGTACTGCACGACAATTGACTTGTGTCATCTTGTTTATTTTACCCAACATCACAGTGAGGTTGGGACAGTTATTACCCCATTTTACCGATGAGAAAAGCAAGACTCAGTGGCTAAGTCTGAGTCTGAGGCTGGCAGAGGAAGGTCTAGAACCCAAACTTTAGATGCCAGAACCCATGCTTGGGACCAGTGCTTTTCAAGTCTGAGCTGTTCTGTAGTATTCTCTAATATAATAGGAAATTAAGAATAAACATTTAGAAATTTAAGCTCACTGGGCATTGCCACAATATTCAAATACATAATGGAGGGACTTATTTCTTTGAAGAGAATATAAACCAGTCTGGGTGACATAGAAATTTCTGGGAAGTTGCATGTGGTAGAAGCTGTGTAGTCATGAACAGTAGGACTGCACAATGGCACAAGACTTAGAGGAAGAGAAGACTGCTGGTCTTCACACAGCTGGTGTACGAGCTCTGCTCTGTCCCATGCCAGGGCCCAAGGGAGATTTGTACTTAGTCAAGATGGCGCCTATTTTCATTGCTGAGTGAGACCCGGCAGCAGGGTCTGTGTGTTGCTTGTAGACCTTGCTTATGATTTTTGTAGAGGGTATATGCAGTGCAAGTCTCCTGCTCCACTGAATAATTTTGGCTGTAACAGGACAAATTGATCGATGTGTCTGGGGGCAAAATGTTTTAGCTTTTCCTGATACCTGCACACCTCTCTGCTTCCCCATTTTAATTTTTTTTTTTGGTTTCTGTCAGGGCTTTTAAGTGCCTTCAGGGTGCTTTCCAAGCTGTCCAAGGCCCCTGAAACCCCCTTTTCCTATACTAGGCTTTCACATCCTTGTTGGGAGGTGGAGGAGGGGAAGGATATCAACTGACTGTTCCCTGGAAAGGAGGGGTCCGTTGATAGAGCCCGTACAATTAGGGCTGGTCTCTGTTAGTTCTGATAAACTCAGCAAAGGTTTCTAAAAATTCTACCCTTAATTCTGATATGGCTGCCTGACCTCTGCATTATCACACACTTCTGGTGGTATCATCTAATACATTTCTAGAAAGCAGTTTGGTGATATGAATCGAGTTTAAAAATTGTATATTCTTAAACCTAAAATTATGCTTTAGATGTTTATCTAAAATTCTGAGGGCTTATGTATAGACATTTATGTACAGAAATGTTTGCCATACAAAATATTTATCATAGTTGTATTTATACAGAGAAACAAAAAATTCAACCTAAATTGAAGTGGCTTAATGCATTGTAACACAGGCCTGATGAAATAGTATGCAGCCACAAAAGTTATGTTTCTGAGTATTGGATGATCCAGTAAGATGCTTATTAGCTATTATAAATGAAAGATGGTAGGTTCAAAAAATTTTAAGTAAAATTTAATAAAAATGTATATGTCTGAAAATAATCATCTATCTAGGTGAGGGTATTCAGGTAGCTTTCATATCCTTTTTGGCATTTACTACATTTTAGGTCATGAGCAGAAAGTCTTTTTATGGTTAGAAAAAGTATCCATAAAAAACACTGAAAAATCTTCTTTTGATTTTGCAGACAGAGCTCCTCTTGACCTGTAAGGTCCTTCTTCACTGCACTCTTGCACTGATGAGGGCACAGCTAAGGAAATGCCCCTGTATTTTCTGGGAGCAAGCCTGGAAGGACTCTCACTATCAGCTTGTATTCAGGTCATAGCTCTGCTGCTAATAGCCCTGGGATGTTGGACAAGTTATTTATTTATCTGAATTTTGGGAATATTTCTTTGGGAATATTTCTTTATAAAATGAAGTTGGCCTAGGCTGACTTAAGTGTTAGATTCTGATTCTGTGATTCTAACAAGTTCATGGAGCCAAAGTATTAATGTAAAGAAGAATCCATAGTTGAACCTTTTTCACTGAAAATGTCTTCAACAGGGGATTTTTAGATTTATAGCTAAAGGAATGGCTCTCTAGTGGCCAAATTTCACTTCGGGTTGTGACTCACTTACATCCAAATGCTAGCTGGAAAACATTTTATAGTTTACACATCCTAAGCTTTATCTGACCCTTCTGAGAGAATCAGAGACCCTTTCACATCAACCTCTGGCCCAAGAGAGAAATATTCTGCCTAAAAGAGCAAATAAATAAATAAAATAAAAATCCTGGGTTCTGTGTTTCTCTTCCTTATTCCTTCCCCAGTTTCAGCTGTTCACCTTTTTCTGCTTCTTTCCATTTCCATCCTATTCCCTGTGGTTGAGCTTATGTCACTGTGGTTCCCTGGGGACTATGGAACCACCAGCCACCAACACAGGGTGGGAGGAAGGATGTGATTCATGCCACTGGTCCAGTGAGTCAGACTTGGGGTAGGCTAGACCAGGGGCTTCCCAAAAAAAGGGATCAGGTTCTAAGTATGTAGACACCTCACTCCCCCTCGCTAGGTGCACACCAGGAGAGAGGCTCGATCTTTCATCCCTTTTTCATTTTCTGGGAACTCATCTAGGAATCCCATTTGCCATAGAAAATGCCGCTTTCTTAAACCTCAGAAGTTTATATCTGGGTAAGGCTAAATCAGCCAAAACAATCACCTGGTCCCCTGGCATCCAGAGGAAGATAGAGATGTTAGCTAGAGAAAAAGAAGCTAAAAAAATGTCCCATTCCATTGTCTCATGCCTTAGATTTGAGCCCAGCAAAATTTCTAAATTCATCTTTCCTCTATTCCAGATCATGAACATTCATGCTGCCTTGGAGATAAAACCTGAGCTTGTGTACCTTGGGCAGGTTATTTAACTGCTTGAGTTTCCCTTCCCTTGCTGAAAAAAATGGGGTCCTATCTTAACCCCCAAATGCCTCCAAACTGGAACTCACCTCAAGGGGTTGCTATGCAGTTAATAGAAACCTGGCACCCACTCCAGGCCTGGCTTCTGAGGGTGCTGAGCCGAAGGGTCTACGAGGCTAGGTTCAGTCTCGAGTGGAGTGGATGCCACATGGGTCCGGACTCGCTGGGAGCTATGAACAGACATTGGTCAGTGCGGGGGTGCTGAAGTGGGCCGTTCCCAGGGTGAGGGTGCCCACGTGCCCCTCCAGACTGGTTCTGACATGTCTGGTCTTCTGCCACCTCTAGCAATCTCTGGCCTTCTCTCCCCTTTTCGCATAAGGCCCGCCACACTGCAGAGCAAACAATGAATAAGTTTGGTCCTGCAAGTAACAAGACAGGACCAGTACGCCCTTCTCCTTTCGCTTCAGGCCTCCCCGGGGCCTGGTAGGACATGGGTGAGTCTGTGCTGAGTTAGAAGTTTGATGTTTTATTCATCATGATCTTTGGCACTTATTTTGATTAAAAGAAAGTCTGCATTATGATAATGTCTAGATCACTGAGGTGCCTGGCAGTCCCTTAGATCTTGCACCTAGTTTGTGGAATCTTCAGCTCTCTCTCTCTTTTTTTTTTTTTAAGGGGGAGGGAGTGTAATTCGGGGACAGAGGGCCCCTGCAGATTGTGACTGCCTCCCTAAAACTGTCACCAGCTAGCTGCAGCCAGAGGTCTGGTTCCACTCATCCGCCCCACCCCCATTTTCTTCCTTTCCCTTGGCATTTCTGTGGCATCACTGAGCTCAGGATGACCCTCATCTTTGAAGCCCTTTCCCTTTAGTTTAGCTCAAGACGTCGAGTGAGGGCTCTATACTAAGTATTAGGCAAGCACCTGGTTAAGCTGGGGGCACGGGCAGATCGGCAAAGACCAGAATAGTGAGAGGCACAGAGCATGCTGCGGGCACCTGGATGGGTACCTGCCTGCCGGTGGGTGAGAGAGAGGAGCGAAGTCCCCAGCCGGTGACGCAGGGCCAGACTCTGTAACCTGGGGGACAGCGCGGATGCCGCAGATGCCGCGGCTCCTACGCGGTGGCCACTTCAGGAATGCGATCTAGGAGATTTCCTGCCCGGGAGGCCCCAGGGCCTCTGGCTCTGGACGCGATCCAGGGAGGCGGCGCCGCGCGGGTCGGAGGCGCTTCCTGGGTGCACAGCCAGAGCAGCTCGAGCGGCCGGAGCCAGAAAAGGGGCCGCTGGCCGGTGCTGGCGGCATGGAGGACGGCGTGCTCAAGGAGGGCTTCCTCGTCAAGAGGGTGAGCGGGGCGGGAGCCCCTCCCGACATTGTCAGGGCCTGGGGCGCGCGCCAGCTCACCTGAGCCGGGCGCCCCTTCCCAAGCCCGGGCTCTGCGGGGCAGAACTCGCGTCCCTGCAGAGAGCCGGTGCACGGTGGCTGGAAGTCAGGTTTAGATGGAAAAGAGGGGTGAACAGACAGGCGAGGAGACCCCGGCTAGAATAATGTATGGAGTGTGGGTGGTCGCTGCCCAAGTGGGTATTTTAATTTAACCTCTTATTAAACTGCGAAGCGTGGAATAGCTAAATCTATGATAATGTATTAAAACAAGGCAAGTGTGCTCTGAAGCTCAGAGCTGCGTCCAGGTAATGCCTCCTCCATAACACGAGCAGGCAGGAAGCCCATGCTGCGTGCGTGCGGTGGGGGACTTTGTCTTCTTTATGCCTCCGCAACAGTCCTGCAGGGTCCTCAGAACCCCGACTCCCACCCTCTTTCACCGAGGAGAAAAAGAAGCTTGAAGAGGTCCAGCCCCATGCTCAGGATCTTGGAGCTAGTGGGTGATAGCGCAGGACTCAAACCTGCTCAGGTCTGTTCTTGTACTGGGTCTCGTTATCATTCTGTTACAGATGAACTAGTGGCAGAATGAGCAGATATCTTGCCCTGAGGCCAGGGCTAAGAACAGCTGAGAATGGAAAGCCCTATTCTTCCTCTTTCCCATCACCCCAGTTGGTCGTTCCCACGCCAAATAAGGGCCCAGACCAAAAAAAAAAAAAAAAAGGCTGGACACAAAGAATTAAGTGAGAAAATGAACCAAGAGTAACGGCAACAGGAAAATTAATATTTCAAACTTCTTTAACATTTTCATATTGAGGACCACAGTCACCTTTGGTGCTAACATAGTAACCGTGCATGCAGATGACTTAATCTAGGCCGGAGTCTTTTCTCTCCTCTACTGAGTTTAGGCTCTGAGGGGGATGGATGGAGAGCGTCAGGGCTCCTCTGCTGGTCCTGTCCCCTGGCTGTCCATCAGCCTGGGAGTCTCCAATAGCATTAGGTATGCGGGCAACGTAGCCATGTTATATACACTTATTGGATACAGGAGGGCGGGTGCGTTGTTTGCTCAAAACTAAGCATGAGTGATAGGAGGTGGATGCCAGATCAAAGGTCAGAATAGATAGAAACAGGTATGAAACTCAGCTGGCTGCCTTCATACCACAGAGATTCAAAGGCTAGACTGGTCCCTCATGGCTTCGAGAGGTAACTGCACCTCCAAGAGACAACCCATGGCAAAGTTCCACTTTCCTACAGCTCAGAAAGGGAGATGGAGCCTGAGAGCTGCTCAGGGGGGCTTTGGGGGCTCAGTTGACAGTGGGTCTGGCAGGATCCTAGGGAGAGCAACCCCTTAGCCAGGCCCTGTGTGTCTCCCGCTGTTTCTGGGGCATTACCTTACCTGGATCACTACCACCACCAGGTCATGGTGAAAATACCTGAAATTCATTCCAGTCAAACCCAAAGACCAGGTTTTAGCTAGACCCTTTCACAAACAGAGGCCACACCCTTTCTTGCAAGGTGCGGGAGGTGGCCTCCAAGTTCCTGTTGACACAAACCAGTCTTTCCTCTTCCTCAAATTCCCTTTCCTACTGGGTGGCAGCTGCTTTCCCTGAGTCCACTGGGGAAGCGGCAGGACTGTGGCTGTGGGACTCCATTTGCCTAGGATGTGTACAGCCCAGAGGTGAGGCAGGGCCTGAGTCAGGAGCCAGAGTACAGAACTGTCTTCAGGGGTGAGGGTGAAACAGGAGACAGGCAGGGGCATGAAGGAATTGGCCCTTAATCCAGACAAGAAAGAAACAATGCTCCAGGCAAAACACAGGAGTGAGCTTGGCCTGTCTTTAAAGGAGAAGGGGGAAAGAAGGGGGTGGGGTGGGGAGTGGGGGGTAGGTAGGATTGCTGTTCCTTTAAGAGGCACTTTCAGGTGTGGCTGCCCACTCTGGACTCCAACACTCAGAAAACGATAGATAGCATGCTAACACGCTTTGCCTGGAAACTTCACTTATAGGACTTGATCCCAAGGAAGTATGGGAAAAGCTCTACGAAAAAGTGTTCTGAAAATTACCTATGTGTCTCCCCAAATAAGCAAATGACTAAGTAAGTAGGTTATGGTTATGCAGATGTTTAAAATGTTTATAACCCAAAGCATAAAATGTAAAAGGTAGGAGTGAGATAAAATAAGCACAGGGGGAAAAGTGAGGAAGGGGTGGGGTCCAGAGGCCCTACTTCTGCAGCCAGCAGAGAGGGAGTCTTCCTGACCTTTGGGCTTCTGGTGCGTGTGGCCGCTCCCCAGTGCTCTGGGTCTGCGATATGCTGCTCTAACCCCTGCCTTCTGCCTGTGCGTTGAATTTCCAAAATTGCTTCTTTGTGTAAGGATACCAGCCATGATGACGGAGCCACCCAAATCCAGCATGACTTCCTCTTAACTGGTTACATCTACAAATACCTAATTTCCAGTTCAGATCAGAGTCACAGGTACTAGGGCGTACAGCTTCAACATTCCTTTGGTGGGGGGGTACTATTTGTCCCATGCCTAGAATCCTCTCTGTTTCTTCAGGATTGTAGGGTCTTGGGCAAGAACTTTCTGGGCCTCAGTTTCCTCACCTTTAAAGTACTGGAGTAGAATAGGCTGTAACTTGCTGTGCCTCCTCCTTCTTCCCTGGAAAGGAGCCTGGGAACTCCAAAACACTACTGGCCCCAGCCAGCTACTTACGGACAAGAAGCTTGGAGAGGAAGGAAAGTGTCCTCGTGGAAGGAAGTCTGGTTTTTATTCAGTTTACACCACATGCTTGTGGCCTCTGACCCACCTTGCCTGGTAACTCTGGCTCAGTGCCGGCTGCCCTCTGGGCATGCGGTGGCTTATCCGTGGCTCTGGGATAATGGCATCCTCCTTCCCATTTGGTGGATTACTACAGCAGTCTCCAAATTGAACTGCTAGCTCTTGGGTCCTGTTTTTACAGCTGTTCAGGCATGGTGTAGTCAAGCTGATCTTTTCCTCTTTTTTTAAAAGATTTATTTTATTTGGGGCCTCCGTGGTGGCACAACAGATTAAGCTGCAGCACTATCTGCAGCCACTGCAACATGAGTTCCATCCTCGGCCAGGGAGGTGACCCACATGGCGCACAGACCTCTCCTGTCTCTCCTGCTGCCCCCCTCAGCAGTGTATTTCGGTCAGTCCACCTATTGTGGCTCCCACTCTGTCTTTTGTGAATCCTCTCATTCCCCACACCTCTGGCCTATATCCCAGCTCTTGTATGCATAGATAAATAAATCTTATTTTTAAGATTTATTTTATTTATTCATGCATACAACAGCTGGGGGATAGGCCAGAGAGGTGGGGTGTGTTTGTTTGTGTGTGAGAGAGAAGATTCACCAGAGACAGAGTGGGGAGCAGAATAGGCAGATTGAATGAAATACACTGCTAAGGGGAGCAGTGAGTGAGACAGGAGAGATCTGTGCCATGTGGGTCAGCTCCCTGGCCCCTGGTCAGAGATTAAAGTTATGCTTCAGTGACTGGTGATAGCTTCATAGTGCTAAGACTTAACCCCTTGCACTACCAAGGGCACCCCCCAGGCTGATCTCCTTAATACGAGAACTTAAACTTGTGACCCTTTTACTTAAAAGTCTTCAAGGGGACCCTCTGCTCACAGTATAAAGATCCATCAAGATCCATCTCTCCAACATGGAACCTGGCGTTGACTGGGCCCTTACCACTTTCCCCACCCCTTCTCCAAGGTCTCTGAGTCTGAACCCAAGAGAACAACTTGAAGTTTCCCAAAAGTGGAGGTGGTTTTCTGCCCCATCTCCCTTCCTACCTTCCTGACCTGGCTAACTCCATGCAGCCCTCAGGACTTGACCTCAGACTCTTCCCAGAGTCTGTCAAACCCACTCCACCTTTTCTGAGCGCCTTCTTCAGTCTTCCTTGGGCTTTTCCTGTGCCCTATTTTAGTTACCTATTGTTATGTGATGATTACCCCACAGCTTAACATCTTAAAACAACAAAAGTATTTTTCACAAGGTTGCTTAAGCTCAGGTAGCCGCAAAGAGCTCAGCAAAGAGCTCAGCCTCACGATTCTCTCATGCAGCTGCAGTCAGTGTAGCCCAGCACAGTAGCCACTGCAGGGGTGACTGGTGGATGAGACACTGCCAGGCTCCCTGGCATGACTGGTGGCTGGAGGCCACCCTTTGAGTCTCCCTGTGGTGTTGCTTATATGTGGGAGGTGACTTGTAACAGAACTCAAGATCAGGAGAAGGAAGGAAGTGAGAGGAAAGACAGAGCTAGAGAGACAAAGGGGTGATGGAGTATTTACTTATTTTTTTATGCATACAGAACTGGGGTACAGGCCAGAGGTGTGGAGGGTGAGAGGATTCACCAGAGACAGAGTGGGGAGCAGATCAGGCAGGCTGACTGAAATATATTGATGAGGGGAGCAGTGGGTGGGTCAGGAGAGGTCTGTCATGCCATGTCAGCTCCCTGGCCCTCCCTGGCCTGGGATGGAACTTATTTCTGCAGTGGCCTTGGAGAGTTTCATAGTGCTGTGCTTTAACCCGTTGTGTCACCAGGGAGAGCTCGGTGATAGAGTCCTTTTTTTTATCTTTTTTAAACGTATTTATTTATCTATTTATTATAATATAATAGTTTATTTTTTTTTAAAGATTTATTTATTCATACAGAACTGGGGTACAAGGCCAGAGATGTGGAGGGTGAGAAGATTCACCAGGGACAGAGTGGGAACAGAACAGGCAGATCGACGAAGTACACTGCTGAGGGGAGCAGCGGGCGGGTCAGGAGAGGCCTGCCGCGCCATGTGGTCACCTCCGGGGCAGGTGGGGATCGAACTCATGCGGAAGTGGATTTAGCTTCTCAGTGCTGTGCTTTAACCTGCTGTGCCACCAGGGAGGGCCTATAATAGTTTATTTTTACGTCATTTTGTACATTTTTTTTTTTTCCATCTCAATTGTAATCCCCATGGG